TGTCAGGATTTTTTGCTGGAAAAATTGAAAACAAAAGACTGTGGGGTGGGGACAGGACAGCATCCCCCCCCCCATATTTCCCAGGCTTTTTTCAGGGCTTTTACATCCCTACTGACACCCTTGGCCAATAAGATTTCCTTGTTTTCCCACATGGCCTCCACCTTCTAGAATTACCCGGGGTCCTCACTGCTGTTTAGTTCCTTGCAAGCATTACTGCATTACTGGGTAATACTGACCAAAGAGAAGCCTGGGTAATACTGACCAAAGAGAAGCCAGTTTAGTGTAGTGGCAGCCTTTTTGAGTCAGTGGGCACATTTGGCATAGCAACAAAATGGCTGCCACAAAATGGCTGCTGCAGGAGGCGGAGCCAGCCACAAAATGGTGGCCACAGCTTAACTTTAGTAACACGGTGCAGATCCTTGTGCTGTGGCGGCAGCTGCTACCAGAGCAACATTTTTTTAAAAAACTGCCCAGCCAATCAAATCTCCAATAGTCAATCAGAAACCTTGTTGGGCGAAACCCATACCTGGCCCCGCCCACTTCCTAAAAACACTTGATGGACATCAGAAAAGGAAGGAGTTTCTGTCTTGCCAGATTTGTGGGACTGAAGGGAACAGATTTGTGGGACTGAAGGGAACAGATTTGTGGGACTGAATCTTTTCTCCGGCATATGGGAAAGATCAATAGCCTCTGGTGGTGCACACAGCTGATACCTGTCTTTCCCCCCCCCCTTTAGGATTTACAAATTATTAGCACTGACGAGAGCCAGGTCTTTGTGGCTGTCCAGGAATGGTATCAGACGGACACCTACAACCTCTACCAGTCTGACGCTCAGGGTGTCTCCTACTCAATCGTGCTGGAAAATGTCAGGAGCACTAAGCAGCCCGAAGAGAATGTACTGATAGATATTCTGGAGGTAAAATGCTCTCAAGTCCCTAGGGCTGCCAGGTCCCTCCTGACCACAGGTGGGGAAAGGGAGGGTGGCCAGCTCTAGGTCGGGAAACTCCTGGAAATTAGGGGATGTAGCCGGGGGGGGGGAGGACAAGGACCTCAGTAGCTACAGTGCCATAGAATCCACCCTTCAAAGCATCCCTTTTCTGCAGGGGAACTGATCTATGTACTCTGGAAATGAGCTGTAATTCCAGGGGATCCCCAGGCCCCACCTGGAGGCAGTCCCTATGAGGCCCTCTTTTTTTGTTGAATCCTCTTGTTTCTTGCTCATTCCTGTAACCTGTCGGGTGGTTTTTCCTCCTGAAAAAATTGGTTCCCAAAAGTAAGGTAAAGGTAAAGGTTTCCCTTGCTCAAAACCCAGTTGAATCCGACTCTAGGGTTGCGGTGCTCATCTCCGTTTCCAAGCCAAAGAGCCAGTGCTAAAACAGATCAATCAATTTTGGTTGATCAAAATTGCAGCTGATTATCAAAATTAGAGTATTTCCTCACGACTAACTGAAATCTGGTACCCATGTAGACTGAGGCTCACTAATTTCTAGGGAAAAAGCTGAAAACGATCCCCCTAAAAATGGGGGGCACAGAGTTTACCTCCCAAACTGTTAGGCCTCCAAGATACCTAAAAATATACAGCCTGTCCCCAAAACACTGGGGAAACCTTTGAAGGGTAATTTGTATTTCTTATTCTCAAAACGGCGTCACAGTTTAATCAAAACAAGTGGCAGTAAAATCAGAAGAAATTGTTTCAAAGACTGTATGGTATCAGCAATTGATTATTCTCACTTGGTAGCAGTGGGAACATTGACCAATGGATACTGGAAGTACATATGGAAGCTGCTTATTAATTCTGTTGCATTTTATATGCTAATACAGGTTAGAGGCGTCAAAGGAGTCTTCTTGGCCAATCAAAAAATTGACGGGAAAGTGACCACTCTTATAACATTCAACAAGGGCCGTGACTGGGATTTCCTCATTCCTCCTGCTGCTGATATGAATGGCAAACCCACCCACTGCAGGCCAGTAAGCATTCCTTTTATTTCCTCCGAAAGGCAGATGTCCAAAATATTTCTCTAAAACTGGTTGCCGCAGAATATTCGTTTTTTTCCTGGTTAAAACCAAAAATTTTATCAAGAAGTTCATGAGAAACCATCTGAAGGGGCAGTAAAAAAAAAGCAGAATTCAACTTTCCTTGGTACCATTTTAGACTCCATGATCCTAAACAAAATCACACCCTTCCGAGTCCTCTGACTTCAGTGGGTTGAGAAGGATGTAGGGTTGCCAGGTCCCCCTGGGGGGCGGGGAAACCCCCGCTCAATGGGTCCATTCCCCGCCAGCCCGGATTGGGCCGCCGAGGGGAACCCCACCCCCAAAGTGCCGGGAGCACGGAGACGTGCCCAGCGTGATGACATCACCCGGAGGCGACGTCATCATGTCGGACACGTTGCGGGGGGACGCTCTATCATTTGACGGAAAACTCTATGGTTTCCCCTCAAATGATAGTGGGTGACGTCATTGCGACGCGCGCGTTGAAGCACTCCTGGACATGGCCGGGACTCCCCCCCGCTGCAGCCAAGGTAGGACTTGGCAACTCTAGAAGGATGTAGTCCAGGTTCAAGCGGGCACCTGAGGCAAGAGACAATAAGCATAGTCTAGACACAGCCCAGGGTCAAAGCCCAGCTAGTCAAAAGTCCAGTCATCAAACCAGAAGGGCAAATCCAAAGAGCACAAGCCAGGTCACAGTCCAGAAGGTCAAGCACACAATAGCTGTAGACAAGTTGCTTCCACATTGGCTGTCCCTTTTCTGGCTGCTTTTATCAGGAGTATACAGGGCTATTTTTGGGGAGGAACGCACAGGAATGGAGTTCCGGCTGGCTTCAGAGTTGGCCACGCCCACTACAGCCAAAACCTCTGTGCGCATGGCTACAGGGGAAAGGCCTGGAGAGCGACCCGCCCTGGCAACTCTAAGGCGGGTGGGCCGGGGAAGCCCTGGAAGGATCGGGGAGGCATTTAAGCCAAGGGAAGGCATGGGGGTGTGGCCTAATAAGCAAATGAGCTGTGCTGTCAGGGGTGTGGCCTAATATGCTAATGAGGTCCTGCTGTTGGGTGTGGCCTATTATGCTAATGAGTTCCTGCTGGGCTTTTTCTACAAAAAAAGTCCTGGGAGTATATAAACACATACAACAATTGTTAAGTTCGACTCATACTTGTGTACGTTTAATTATGTAAGTACAAAACATTCTATAATGAAAAACAACAACTATCCGTCAGAACAATACAAACTATAGATCAAGGGAGAGTGAAAAATGTCCAGTGAAACTTTCTAGAGCCATGTACATAGATCAGAAGGTCCTGGATGTATCATGCCCTCCATTGTGTCCTATATGTACTGTATATATACTATTGAGTGTTGTTTATTCCTTTTGTATGCTTTTATTGGGAGTCATTCAGGGCCTGGTGCAAGTCATCAACTTGCTGAGTCACCCAGGGACAAATGCAAGTAATCAACGGCTGAGCAGCCTGCAGGGCTGTCAGCCCTGGTCCTGCAATGACTCCAACTCACAGGCAGAGATTGACTGGTGCTGGGCTGCGCACTATGGTGCTGCTCCCGAGCCTCCCTCCATGCCCACCTCCTCCAGCCTTCCAAGGGCTCTGGCAACCCTGGGGGTGAGACTGGCGGCTGCAGGGCCTCTGGTTTAACTTCAGATCCCAGGCCCCAGGACTGAGGGCGTGGCATGCTGAATTCGGCCTGAAATTCCCCATCTGCACTTGAAGGAGTCTCAACTTTGTCTAGTGGGTCTTCCTGCAGCATCTGAGGGCTGGGGCTAGCTTCCTCCATCTCTTCCTCATCCGAGGAGGTGTTGGAAAGCAGACCCACGACAGACGTAGCTGAGTTTAGGACGGCACTGTAAATGAAGAACCTCAGTGCTCCTCTATAGAAAGAAAAACCCCACACATCAAAAATTTGTAAATATAAATTTTCTGTGCACAGGGATTTTTCTCAAACCTGCAGTCTAAAGTGGTTTAGTCCGGCTTGCGTTGCATAATGTGATTCTGTTGCAATTTGCCGCTCATGTTGTAGACTAGGGGCCTTCCCACATTCTCATTTTTCTCTCTTATGTGTTCCTGTTGTTTTGGGGGGGAAGTTGTGTTTCACACATGTTTTGCTCCCTCTAGTGGTCGATTTGATATTATACCGCTTTATGTCCAGCATATCTCCCTGCTGGTTCTTATGTCAGAGATAACGTGATGTAATATGAAATCGACCACTAGAGGGAGAAAAACATGTGGAACAGGGGGGGAAACCCTGAAGCAACAGGAACACGCAAGCAAAGAAGATGAGAACGTGGAAGAGCCCTCAGTTACTTTTTTGGCTCTTGTACTATACTGGTTTGCAAACCATAACTTGTTGATACCTGCTAACACATTTGTACCAGACTTAAGACCTTATGTTGACCAGTAGTGTAGAATGTGATGTCCCATTCCCTCAGGCCTGTCCTCAGACTCCGGGCATCCAGTTACAATTAGTCAGTGGGGGCTAAGCAGCCTACCAGTGTAGGACAACCACCAAACAAGTGGAAGGTGTTACTAACTTGCTAATATTTGTCAATATATACGTCTTGTTTGTCATATAAAGCAACAAGAGATTATACTCGACTGTCCCTGTAATGATTCCTTGTTTTTGTGTGTGGGTGTCTCTTTAAAAGTTTGGTTGCATGGCTGTGGTAGATAGAGTGGTTGAGAGAGGCAAGTGTGGTATGATTGGTGGTTGACAGAGAGGGGGAGGGGTTTTGGAAGTGAATCTGGATGGATGAGTATGTGAGTCAGTCAAGAGTTTCAGTTACAAGTTGACAGTTGATGTGTTCAGTCAGTTCTGTGTGGAAACAGTTAGAAGCTGACAGCTGAGGTTGTTCAGTGAGAAAGAGAAAGAGAGCTGAAAGCTGAGTGTATAGGAAAAAGTAAAGTAAAGTTTAAGTGGAAAAAAGTTAAAGGAAAGTCTGAGTGTCATAACAGACTGGAGTGAAACAGTGAACATATATGGCATTAAGATAAACAAGTGTTACAAAGTTACACGAAAAGATCCCTGTCAGTGCGGGAAAAGATTGAGTGTGATACCAAAGCAATTGTACATCATTTACACATTACTAATTACATTGTATCACCCTCTTATTTAGTATTTATTCCAATAAATCCTCTTTTATTCAAGTTTATACCAGCTCTGAATGAAATACTTCCCAGGACCACATAGTTCCTCGTAAGCCTTGAACTCGGTCTACCAAACTAGTAAGAGCAACATTATAAGCATAAAGGTTTGGAAATCCTTAAAATTTCCTGGTGGCAGCAGAATCTACCCTGTTAAACAAAATAAAGAGAACTTTTAAAGTGAAACTAGTCCTCCCCAATAAGGAGGACGTCACAGTCCCAGTTATTTGAATGACCTGATTTCTGTGCAGTTATAGAAGATGGTCACATACAATGAGAGCTACCTGCATAGGCTACCTTAATACAGAATAATAGAGAATATGGAAAATAGGTGTTGGAGATGATTGCTGTTTCCCTAACAGTTACTTTCCCCTGCGTCAGTATTTGCCATTGAGTCAGATGAATAATTGCTTTGGCAGGTATAGCTCATTCATTCTATGGAGTTAAGTATGCTGAGGAGTTATGTATACAAATTGTATGCCAATACTTTATTTACATAGTGGTGGTGATGTTTTTGCATTTGGAAGAGGAAGGTCAAATGGGGTGGGGGGAGGCATTACTTGAAATGGGCTTCAACCCCACCATCGATCATTTTAGAAGTACTTCTGGCGTATCCATACAGAAATGTCCCTGAGCTGTTTGTTAAATTTTCCTTCCTCTTCTTTATAATATGAGGCTGGTCACATCTGCACACAGATGCTTCTTATGGGATGTTTCCTGTGGAACGATTTCTTTGTCATGAGGTCAGAGTTTCAAGATACGCTTGAGGTTCTGACAGTGGCGACAGTGTGTTGACTAAGAGTGAACAAAGAAATGTAAATCTTAGCTCTGCCTGAATTTACAAAGTATCCTGAGGCAAAGCATCCTGCATCAGCCTGCCCCCCCCATTTTCCCCTTTGTGAAAATAACAGTACTAAAGACTGCAATGAAATGACATATATGAAGTGCTTTAAATGCTCAAAAGTGTTATACAAATGCTAAATATTAAGAATCTTTTTCAATTCCAATTTTCTTCTTTATCCTGTGTACCCTAAAGCTGTCTCATCTTCCATGTCTCAGTCTCATTCCTTCCTCCATTATAGGCCCCGGTCACATGGGAGGTTTTGGGCCAGAAGAGGGACGGATCGGGGGCGTAGCAAACGGGCGCGAGCACACCGCAACATCAGGGAAGCGGCGCGCACCCATCCCCGATCTGGCCCTTCAGGCCGAAAATGCGCTAAAAAAAAAGAACCAGCAAAAGAGGAGGACTTACCTGAAACGGCGCAGTGAAGGGCGGAGTATACATCCAATCTCTTCTTCTCTTCTTCTTTGTAGCCCGACTGCCATCTCCACCTTCACCTCCGCTGGCCGGACAACCCCTATGTGTCAGGAATGGTTCATACCAAGGATACAGCACCGGGACTCATAATGGGGGCAGGTAAACAGGCAAAAGAGAGCACGCTTTCTGGAGTTGATGGATTAAAAAGTTGTACAACCATTACAATAGATCACGTCAACTGAATTTGCTTGGTTCGTCACTGCATGCTATCGATACAAAGCTGGTTGCTTCCTGACAGTTAGAACGGTTCCTCAATGGAACAGGCTTCCTCGGGAGGTGGTGGGCTCTCCTTCTTTGGAGGGTTTCAAGCAGAGGCCAGGCAGCCATCAGACAGCAATGCGGATTCTGTGAATTGGGGCAGATCGTGTGAGGGAGGGCAGGAAGGGTCGCCTCAGGGCTTAGTTCTCGTGGCCCTTTCTTACACGCCCAGGGAAATGCTGATCGCCACTTTGGGATGAAGCAGCAGTTTTTCTCCAGGCAAGTTTGGCCAGTGATCCTGGAGGGTTTTTGCCATCTTCTGGGCTGGGACGGGGGGGTTCTGAATCAGCTGGTGACTGTAGGGGGAGCTATACAGTCACACTGCAGCCGTCATGTGCTTTACTGCACATCTATCTATTAGGCTTGCCAAGTCCCCCCGGGGGGCAGGGAAATCCCCGCCCCAGAGGCCCGTTCCCCGCCGCTGGCGGATCGAGCCCCGGGGGGAGTCCCACCCCGACGTGCGCATCACCCGGAAGTGACACGACCACGCTGGGCACGCTGGGGGCGGGGCCACGGTCATCCGAGGGAAAACTCTATGGCGCCAGCCGGGAGTCCCCTGCTGTGGCGCGACCTACTTGGCAACCCTACTATCTATCTATTTATTTAATTATTTAATTAATTAAGTTTATATCCCGCCTATCCACAAAATGGGCTCCGGGCAGCTCACAACAATTAGGCTCTAAATAAGTAATAGTACCATATAATAAAACCAAGTTAAAACCATCAGACAATAAAACAAGATGGCAGCAAAAACAGACCAAAAACTCCAGGGCAGTCCTCAATGCCTCCTGTGGGATGATTAGTTCAATGACGTCTTTCCGTGGGCAAGGGAGGCCGAGATGGAGTGGACGTCTGCCACCTCAGCCAAAAACCTGGCGGAACAGCTCCGTTTGGCAGGCCCTGATCTCACATGGGAGCGTGTTCCACCAGGCTGGGGCCAGGGCAGGAAAAGCTAAGCAGATTTCTTTGGGGCCAGGGACTGCCAGTAGGTGCTGGTTAGCAGAGCTCAAGGCTCTCCGGGGCACATATGGGGAAAGACAGTCCCGTAGGTATGCTGGTTCCAGGCCGCATAAGGCTTTAAAGGTCAATACCATGACCTCGAACTGGATCCAGTATTCGACTAGCAGCCAGTGTAGTTGGCGGAGCACCGGCTAAATGTGCGCCCGCACAGATGTTGCTGTCAGCAAGTGCGCCACCGCATTCTGCACTAGCTACAGTTTCTGGGTCTGGTTTAAGGGCAGCCCTGCGTAGAGCGCGGTACAGTACTCCAGCCTGGAAGTGACCATTGCATGGATCACTAGCTAAGTCCCAGGAGGTGAGATAGGGAACCAGCTGCCTGACTAGCCAAAGATGATAAAAGGCTGACCTGGCCACCGTGGTGAACTGGGCCTCCATAGAAAGTGAGGCATCCGGGATTACCCCAGGCCTCCTCACCCTTGGTGCTAGGGTCAACAATGCCCTGCCAAGGATTGGGAGCCGGATTTCTGATCCCCAAGCCCCTGTGACCTGGCTACAGGACCCCCGTCTTCAGATGTCTCTGCTGTAACCATTCAGCCATGACTCCTAATGCCCTGTTCCGCGCATCTGGGGCAGAGTCCGTCCATCTGTCCATTAACAGATAAACCTGGGTGTCAGCAGCATACTGATGGCAGCCCAGCCCTACCCCTTGACTAACTGGGCGAGGGGGCACATATCATCGTTGAACAACATTGGAGAGAGGCTCACCCCTGCCTCGATCCAGGTGTCCCTGGAGGTCATCTCTGAGGGTGACCAGTGCAGTCTCCATCCCGTGGCCAGGGCAGAAACCAGACTGGAAGAGATCCAAGATGGAGGCCTCAAAGGGGAGGCATTTCTGCAAGGACAGCAGAAACAGTACACTGTACTCATGGCCAGTAGGAGAACCCAACCAGTGCCAGCCTGCTAATGCCCAGTGCCAGCAACCTGTGCCATTGTGGCAGAGGCCAGCCTCCCAGATCTGAGGTCAAGCACAGCCACAAAAATCACAGTCCAAGTGAGGGGGAGGAGGGTTGCAAGGACAGCAGAAGCAGAGCAATAGTGCCCATCAGCACAACCTAGTGCCAACGTGGCAGTGCCTAGAAAGAGCCAAAGAGGGTACCACATCCCACCATTGCTTCCAATGGTGGGGAAAATAGTACAACGAGCCCAGCAGATTCTCCCAGAGGATCTCTGCAGTAGAAAGTGTGTGTGGGGTTTAAAAGTTAAACAGATAGACTTACCGTCTCTTCCTTGCTGTTTCCCAACATTTCTGCCTCTTCCCCCCCATTTGCCCTGATTTCCAGGGCAATAGGGGGAGGGGGATCTCTGCAGCCAATCACTGCAACGCATTTGCAACTGGCGTTGCATCGCAGGCTTGCAACTTTGCAAAGTTGTTGCTGAAGTCCAGCAACTGCCTTGCTTTCCCCGCCCCTCTCCCTCGCTCGGATTGTGATTCTGTGGCTGTGCTTGACGTCAGAGCAGACCTGTGGCGCTGGCCTTTGTCACAGTGGCGCAGGGTGCTGGCACTGGGCACTAGTAGGTTGACTCCAGTTGGGTTCTCCTGCTGGCCACTAATGGCCACCGTGGTGACCTGGGCCTCCATAGAAAGTGAGGCATCCGGGATTACCCCAGGCCTCCTCACCCTTGGTGCTAGGGTCAACAAGGGCTGGGAGCCGGACACTGGTTCTGCTGGGTACACTGCACTGGTTCTGCTGCTGGCCTAGCAAACAATACCCGTCCCAAACTTCCCTTTTTACTGCAGGGATTCTCTGGGGGAATCTCTTCTCTACTCTGCTTGTTGTGCTATTTTTCCCACTATTGGAAACAATGGGGCTCCCAAATTCTAGGGGCTCCCAAAGAGCACCCTCTTTGGGAGCCCCTAGAATTGGACCCCCCTGGTCCAATCTTTTATAGACTTGAAGGTTCTTTTGGGGAAAGGCTCCAGCAGCTAAGCTGCAAATTCGGTGCTTCTGCCTCAAACCCGCTCTCCCCAGGCCCCATAATATACCTTAGGAGAGATTTGCCATTGACTACAATGTCCCCATTGGAGCCGAATAGATTCGAGAATCTCGAATATTTCCCAAATAGATTATCCATACTGACATTGATGACGGAGTGAGCTCCCGTCTCTAGTTCCAGCTCCTGCCAACCTAGCAGTTTGAAAGCAAGAAATTACAAGTAGATAAATAGGTACCACTTCGGTGGGAAGGGAACAGCGTTCCGTGCGCCTTGGTATTTAGCCACGCCAGCCACATGACCACGGAAATGTCTTCGGACAGCGTTGGCTCTTCGGCTTTGAAACGGAGATGAGCACCGCAACCCTAGAGTTGGATTCGGCTGGCTTTCGAGCAAGGCAAAACCTTTACAATGTCCCCATTGGAGCCGAATAGATTCGAGAATCTCGAATATTTCCCAAATAGGTTATCCGTACTGATATTTGGGAATATTGGGGTATACTGAATGTATTTGGATCAGAGAATCCCAAATCCAAATAATACCAAATATTTTTTCTTTGCACACCCCTAGTGGAGTGTCATCATGGCCTCATCTTAAATGTGTTGATCTGTGTTTGGCTGGGATTGCCCATGGAACTCACTGAGGGAAGAAACAAAAACAGTCACAGGAGAGAGAGAAAATGATACCAGAGCTTCAAGCAGTAGGGGAAACCATGGCCCCAGATTACAAAAAGATGTTCTCAATCAAAGCGTTTCCCCCCAGGAAATATTTCCGTTCCTCTAGCCCCAAAATGGAAATTCAACACAGATCCTAATTACTTTTAATCATTTATAAAAGCACTATATGTTCTGACAGGGACTGTATAAATTATAACAATGGCTTGTAGTTGAAAAGACACCAAAGGGAATCAGACTTATGATTTTGGGGGCCTATAACTCCCTTTCTGATATAGCTGAGAGCCATTCTGTGCAAAATAAAAATAGTTTTTTTGGAAATATTGCTATGGGAAGGTTATTGCAGTGGGAAGGTTCTTCGAAGTGTGCAGGCACACAAAACCTTATACACAGAATTAAACTTTGTTGGTCTTAGAGGTGCCATTGGACTTAAACTTTGTTCTACAGGAAATCAGAGACTGGTTCATTCACTTTCTATACTTGGAAATGTTCTAGAAGAAATACCAAAATAGAAAACTTGGAAGCACCCAGGTAAAAACCAATCCTGTCTTTATACCCCGCCTTTCACTCAAAGTTTCAGAGCGGCTTACAATCTCCTTTCCCTTCCCCTCCCCTCCCCTCCTCACAACAGACATCCTGTGAGGTAGGTGGGGCTGAGAGAGCTCTTTCGTGGACTGCTCTTGAGAGAACAGCTCTGAGAGAACATGTGACTGACCCAAGGTCACACCAGCTGGCTGCATGTGGAGGAGTGGAGAATCAAACCCGGTTGTCCCAGATTAGAGTCCGCACTCTTAACCGCTTCAACAAACTGGTTCATAGTTGTATCATACCTAGTAAGAAATGTAGACAAGAAATATTTAGTGGATATGGATGAGCAGCTGGATAGAAATAAGTCATTCTTGTGGCTTCTTTGCATCAAAGAGCACTGAACTTCACTAGATTAACTTCATCATCTTCTGTTACTGCTCTTTGCTTTAGGCATGGATGCCTGAAGAGTCCTGCATTATGAAATAGCTCTCTTGCAGTTTTTCACTGCTTACTGATCTTGCCTCACTTGCTCTGCATGAGTCAAAGCTAGACAAGTTATTAGAGAAGTGTTTTGCCTAACACTTTGGGTTGAATCCAGGCTGAATTTCGACTGATTCCCACCTGCTCTGTGGACTCACTGATTAGCTGGCAAAATATAATCAAAGGAACATATTCAAACATTTAAGTAGTTATCAAGAAGAAAAGGAGGAGGAGGAGGTTGGATTTATACCACCCCCTTCACTCGGAGTCTCAGAGCGGCTTACACTCTCCTTTCCCTTCCCCTCCCCACAACAGACACCCCGTGAGGTAGGTGGGGCTGAGAGAGCTCTTTGAGAACTGCTCTTGAGAGAGCAGCTCTGAGAGAACTGTGGCTTTCCCAAGGTCACACCAGCAGCTGCAAGTGGAGGAGTGGGGTTCTCCCAGATTAGAGTCCGCACACTTAACCACTATACCAAACTGGAAGGGAGAGTGAATTTGATTGTTTTAGCGCTAAGTATGTATCAAGAAGAAACTGATCTACCTTACAGAACATTAGTGGGGGGAAAGCGGGATACAAATCAAATAAATGAATAAGTGTTATACAAATTAATATCCAGTCAAAAATAGAAGATTGAAGTCAAAATGAGGAGGAAGATCTTCTATTTTATTGCAATGAAATACGGAAAACGGTTAGGCCAAAGGACCCATAAAGCTGACTGCTTTCTGAGCCCTATCAGGAAATACATGAAGCTAAATACCTAAAATGACATCATCATCATGGGAATAATATTCAGAAGGCATAACTGGTTACAAAAACTTAAACAACATTTACATAAAAATCTCCTTATTGGTCAAATGTAAGAAAGGTGTGTCTGTGCAATAGCGTCACATATTTACTTGACCTGACCCAAGTCATATCAGCCAAAGCTTTTTATCACCCAAACAAAGGTGTTTTTCTCTGATACCAAGTAAAAGATCCTTTTGACCCAGACACTATGAAGTTGTAACCTAAACAATTAGAACCATGAACCTTCTACCTTCTTTTGTAACAAAAGAATGTTATTGTCTTGTCTGTTAACATCAACTGGAAAAATACCCTGACCCACAAAGAAGAGAGGCCTTCTATATACCAGGCCTTCATTAAAAGGTAAAGGTAAAGGTTCCCTTGCTCGAAAGCCAGTCAAGTCCGACTCTAGGGTTGCGGTGCTCATCTCCGTTTCAAAGCCGAAGAGCCAGCGCTGTCCGAAGACGTTTCCGTGGTCATGTGGCCGGCATGACTAAACACCAAGGCGCACGGAACCCTGTTACCTTCCCACCGAAGTGGTACCTATTTATCTTCTTGCAGCTTCTTGCTTTCGAACTGCTAGGTTGGCAGGAGCTGGAACTAGAGACGGGAGCTCACTCCATCATGCGGCAACTCGGGTCTCGAACTGCTGAACTACTGACCTTCCACAGCCTGCAGTTCAGCCTCTTAACCACTTGAGCCACCGCAGCTCCTTAGAGGCCTTCATTACATTCCAATAAAATGTTAAATCTATAATAAACCTATAAAAACCAGAGAAATATGAATAATCAAAAAAGAGGAAAATCTATATCGTCCCATCTCTACTACATAAGGAAGGGTGAATTAAGGATAAACATTAAGAAGTAGATATAAGAGCAGATCTGCACAGAAAAAGTTGGGCAGTCATCTGGCAAGGATAATCCACCTTGAGTCTGAGTGAAGGAGAGAAAAGTGGGCTGTAAAGACAGGGAATAGATAAATGAAATGCTCAATAGCAAAAGTTGGACCACCCCCTGCCCCTTCAAGCCCTTTTAGTCTTACAGTTCTTCAGCATAACGAACATTGAGTCCAGTGGTATGATATGAGAACCATCTTCAAGCACTTGAAGAGCTGTGTAACAATTTCATGTTTATTTGTGTGTGTGTCTTTAAAAGTTTGGTTTACCTTGCTGTGTGAAAGTCTAGTGTGGTTGAAATAGGCAAGTTGTGTGATTGGTGAGTGACAGAGAGGGGGAGGGGTTTTGGAAATGATTCTGTGTGGATGAACAGATATGTCAGTCAAGAGTGTCAGTTGAAGAGTGACTGTTGGGGATGACAGTTGTTAAAGTCAGTCAGCAGAGAGTGCTGTGTAAAAGCAGTTGATAGGAGTTTGAGTTCTGTTTTCTGTGAGAGAAGCAGAAGAGGAGTTAAGTTCTGTCTCTGAATGGAAGGAGACATCCCTGTGTGGGAAGGATTTGGTTCTGTGTGTGAAAAGAGTGACATTTAGTTCTGTGTTATAGGAGTTACAATTAAAAGCTGAGAGTCTAGGAAAAAGTACAGTGAAAAGTGTTACAAAGTTGCTTGAAACCTCCCTGTCAGAAAAAGAGAAGCTTGTGAGAGAGACACCCAGCATTTGTTCAAATCATTCCCAGTACTGTTCACATTGTTTACCCTCGTCTTTATGCTTTCTTTAAATAAATCCTATTTCCTTCAAGTATACCAGCAGTAAAGAATCCTTCCTCAGACCACATAGTACCACGAACGCCTAAAACCCTCGGTATACCTACCCTGTGATTGAAATAGTAGAGCCAAGGTTTGGAAAGCCTAAAATATTCCTGGTGGCAGCCGGATACCCAAAGTAAAATAAAACTGAAAGAACAATTTAAAGTAAAACTAGACCTCCCCAAATAAGAGGTCGTCACAGGCTGTCATATAGAAGATGGTACAGAGTTGTTTTCTGTTGCCCCGGAAGGTCGGACCAGATCTCAGTGCTTAGTTCTCGTGGCCCTTTCTTACAGGGAAATGCTGATCGCCACTTTGAGGTCAAGAAGCAATTTTTCTCCAGGCCAGTTTGGCCGGAGATCCTGGAGGGTTTTTTGTCATCTTCTGGGTGTGGAACATCAGTCACTGGGGTGTGGAGGGGGAGGTATTTGTGAATTTCCAGCATTGTGCAGCGGGTTGGATTAGATGACCCTGGAGATCCCTTCCAACTGTACGATTCTATGATTCAGTGACATCTTTAAGACCAACAAAGTCTTATTCAAGGTATAAGCTTTCATGTACGTGCACACTTCTTCAGATACACTGAAACAGAAGTTACCAGTCCATAAATACAGTTAGAGGGTGAGCAGCAAATTAGCATACAGCATAATGAAGGTGTTTAACAGATGCAGAGACCAAACTCGAATAACAATCTTAGTTTATGTGGTCATCATTTGTTTGGGCTTCATTCTGGGAGAATAGTTCGGGGAATAAATATATCAAAATTGGAGACTGATGGGCAGATCGTCCCTTCTTAATTGCGGAATGCTGAGCGCAGGGCTGTTTTTGGGCAGGAACGCACAGGAACGGAGTTCCGGCTGGCTCCTAAGTTGGCCACGCCCAGCAGGAACTCATTAGCATAATAGGCCACACCCAACAGCAGAAACCCATTAGGATTGGCTACATTAGGGGTGTGTGGCCTAACATGCAAAGGGTTCCTGCTACAAAAAAAGGCCCTGGGTTTTGACAGCAAACAAGGTCAACAGAATAAGAAGCAAAAGGTGGGTGTGGCTGGATGACCACACTTCTGATGACATGGGGGTGTGGCCTAATATGCTAATGCACTGTGCTGTCAGGGGTGTGGCCTACTATGCTAATGAGTTTCTGCTGTTGGGTGTGGCCTGTTATGCTCATGAGTTCCTGCTGGGCTTTTTCTACAAAAAAAGCCTGAGCGTAATTAACTGAGACCCTGTTGTCACTCCCCATCCGTCTCCTCTCAAGCGTGGAGTTCTGCAGCATGGCAAGCTGAAACGACTTCCACGGACTGCTTGGTCCATGAGTGGGGTGGAGTTGGGACTGTTGAAAACCTGCAGCAGCAATGGAACCGTTTCTGGTCCTAACAGGGAATTCCCTCGTCTGGGTATGATGATGAATCTGACCGTAAATATCTGGCTGCCTATTAACCATTTCCTGTTCTGTCTTCAGGAAATCTGGGTTCCCAGCTTGTTGAGTATAAAGAAGAAATGTATGTAACGTCTGACTGTGGCAAAACCTGGAGACAGGTAAGTGAACGGAGATGGTTAATAAAAAGAGATCCAACAGTCCAAAATATCTTCTTGGGCAGGTAGGTTTTTTTTAACCACGTTGCATGGAATTTTGTATCATACGCAACTCCTAAATAGTTTAGATTTTCTTAAATTGATGCCATGTGTTAAATGAAGGGGGAAGAGCTTTCTATTGCCTCCCAAAGTTAACTAAAAACAGGATCAGAACCACGGGGGCCCATTTCAGATGAGAGGGGAGGACTCTGGTTTGGATTCCACTGAATGTATATATAATATTTTGAGATCATTTGTTTTGATTTTTATGTCTCATAGCAACATGGCGTACACCAGGGAAACCTGTTTTTAAAAGGAACTGGGGCCTTTAGGATTGTTTATATCAATTAGCAGGGCTTTTTTTTGTAGAAGAAGCCCAGCAAGAACTCATTAGCAGAATAGACCACACCGAACAGCCGAAACTCATTAGCATATTAGGCCACACCCCTATGTCTTCCCTTGGCTTGCCTGGGTGCCCCGTGGCTGCGGGGAGCCCGGGCAAGCCAGCCCTTAGAGGGGGGGCAGTTTAAACTGCCTTTCCTTGGCTTGGCAATTAAATGCCTCCCCGATCTGGGCCCCCCGGCCCCCCCCCCCCCAGAGTACCCGGGGGGGGGGGTATCGCTCTCCAGGCCTTCCCTCTGTAGGCAGGCACGCAGAGGTTTTGGCTGTAGTGGGCGTGGCCAACTCTGAAGCCAGCCGGAACTCCGTTCTTGTGCGTTCCTGCCCAAAAATAGCTCTGTCAATTAGTATTCTTTATGTTAATCACTCTGCCTGAAGAACCTGTCACCTGGCTACAGATCTGAAAAAAACGGTTCACCGAATAATCCCCCTGTGCTCTGAAACTCTGGTGGGAGGGCCAGTACGCCTCGTGTTCTACTCCTGGCGGGCCTGCCTTTCTCTGTCTGAAACTCAGTGTCAGCAAAAAGCTAGTGTGACTTAAGTGGTTAGCGAGTCATACTACATTCAGGAGACCCGGGTTCAAAACACCAAGATCACTGGATGATGATGATGATGATGATGATTTATTGATTTTCTGAATGGCCCAATCCCTGTGTACACAGGGCTCTGGGCGATTTACAACAGGTTAAAGATATACCAAAAAATACAGATTAAAGTCATCAGATCAATTATTCCTAATTTGATAATCTCCAGATCGCATCCGTAATTTAATCTAAAACCAACTCTGGACTGTTCTTCTGTTTCGTGGGCAGGTTAGGGAGGAGGCTGAAACGGGCAGAATGGAAGAAAAGCGAAGAGGGTGCCGGTTTGCGTAGTGGTTAAGTGCACAGACTCTAATCTGGGAGAGCCGGGTTTGATTCCCCACTCCTCCACTTGCACCTGCTGGATGACCTTGGGCAAGCCGTAGTTCTGGCACAGCTGTTCTTGAAAAAGAGCCATTTCTGTCAGAGCTCTCTCAACCCCACCTCCCTCACAGGGTGTCTGTTGTGGGGAGGGGAAGGGAAAGGAGTTTGTGAGCCGCTCTGAGACTCCAAGTGAAGGGCGGGGTATAAATCCAATCTCTTCTCTATGATGGAAAGCCGTTGCTGTCCTCAACCAAAATCCTGGTGGAACATCTCTGCCTTACAGGCCCTGCAGAATTGCATTAAGCCCCGCAGGGCCCTGATGGAAGTTGGCAGAGAGTTCCACCAGGTGAGAACCAGGTGCCAAGAAGGTCAAGGACAGCTGGATATCTTTGGGGCCAGGGATCACCAGCAGATTGCTGTCAGCAGATCGTAATGCGCTCCCAGGGAAAGACCAGAGGAGACGGTCCCAGGGAAAGACCAGAGGAGACGGGCTGGTCGTGCTCTCCCTCAGTTTAACCCACTTTATAGATTAGCCGTGAAGATGAAATCGAGGTTTCTGAGGAGGGGCTGGTAGAAATCAGAGGCAGGGCTTTTTCAGTGGTGGCCCCTCCCTGTTGGCACTGCCCTCCCCCTTGAGGCTTGCTTAGCACCTACCTTACTGTCCTTCAGACACCAGGCCAAAGCAATTTTTAATTCGATTGCACTATACTTTGGGCTACCCTTGAAGGATGTTCAGAGGCTGCAGCTAGTGCAGAATGCTGTGGTTAGCCTGCTGGTTGGGGCCGGTTACCGTGATCACGTGATCCCAATCCTAAAGCAATTATACTGCCACCAGTGTTCCTTCTAAACTGAGTCCGTGTGAGCTAGCTCACAGTTTTTTTAGCCTCCGGCTCACACATTTTTGTCTTTGCTCAGGAAGGGTGGCTCCAGAGCAAACTGATTTATGCAGGAGCCAAATCACCTGGCTCACAACTTTAATGCCAGCAGCTCGCAAAGTAGAATTTTTGCTCACAGGACTCCAGAGCTTAGAGGGAGCATTGACTGCCACCTGATCTGTTCCCGAGCCCAATTCATGGTGTTGTTCTTGACCTTTAAAGCCTTCCATGGCTTGGGACTGGGGTATCTGAAGGACTGTCTTCTCCCGTACGTTTCTGCCTGGGAACTAAGATCATGAGGAGAGGCTCTCTTGACTGTCCCTTTGACCAAAGAAGCTCCTCTTGTGGCAGGCAGGCAGGCAGGCAGGCAGGCATTCCCCCCTCTGCAGAGGGAAGGCGTGCCTTTGGGAGGGGATTTGGGTAGGAGATTTCTTAGGGAGAAGGCTAGTGAGTTGGTGAGATCAGATGAGAAAGAATGTGAAGTAAGATGGGGGGAGGGCTATTTGCAGGGGTGACCTGTCCACTAAGCAGCCCTAGGTAACTGTGTGGGTGCCAGAGGCATACTTAATAACTATCGTTTGGCAGTGTGTGTGTGTGGAGTAGCCAGGAGAGCCTAAGATTGTCTGGCAGCCCGAAGTTCTAGCTCTTTTAGCGTTATGCACCACTAAGTGGCGAGCTAGACTTGGTTTTTTTAAGGTGAGAGACGTGTCAGAGGTGGTTTGCCATTGCCCATCTCTGCGTCATGCCGCTGGTGTTCCTTGGAGGTCGCCTATCCAGATACTAGCCAGGGCCGACCCTCCTTGGCTTCCGAGGTCTGACAAGATCAGGCTATCCAGGTCAGGGCTACCTTGAAGAGGCATAGAGCGGTGCCAACCAGCCCTGTGCCCACCTACCTGATGTCTGGATCTGCTGTGGCCAGCAGCGCCCAAGAAGAGCCCCTGGCACTAGTGGGTGACTGAAGGGAGCCTGCTGCTTCCCGCGCACCTTCCCTTGCTGCCATGCTGGAGAGGAACTGGACAAGTAGCGGCTTTCTGCCCTGCCCCGAGGAGGGAGGATTAGGAGGAAGAAGAGGGGGGCACTACCAACCGAGGCTGTGGGGAGGGTAGTTAACTGCTATGCCACACCTCCAGTAAGTGGGGGGCTCAAGGAAAGTGGGTGCTACCTCTGGGAAGCTGGTGGAGGGGAGGAAGGGCAGGGCTATCATGCTGCCTCTGTTACTCCAGAGCTTAGAGGGAGCATTGACTGCCACCTGATCTGTTCCCGAGCCCAATTCATGGTGTTGTTCTTGACCTTTAAAGCCTTCCATGGCTTGGGACTGGGGTATCTGAAGGACTGTCTTCTCCCGTACGTTTCTGCCTGGGAACTAAGATCATGAGGAGAGGCTCTCTTGACTGTCCCTTTGACCAAAGAAGCTCCTCTTGTGGCAGGCAGGCAGGCAGGCAGGCAGGCATTCCCCCCTCTGCAGAGGGAAGGCGTGCCTTTGGGAGGGGATTTGGGTAGGAGATTTCTTAGGGAGAAGGCTAGTGAGTTGGTGAGATCAGATGAGAAAGAATGTGAAGTAAGATGGGGGGAGGGCTATTTGCAGGGGTGACCTGTCCACTAAGCAGCCCTAGGTAACTGTGTGGGTGCCAGAGGCATACTTAATAACTATCGTTTGGCAGTGTGTGTGTGTGGAGTAGCCAGGAGAGCCTAAGATTGTCTGGCAGCCCGAAGTTCTAGCTCTTTTAGCGTTATGCACCACTAAGTGGCGAGCTAGACTTGGTTTTTTTAAGGTGAGAGACGTGTCAGAGGTGGTTTGCCATTGCCCATCTCTGCGTCATGCCGCTGGTGTTCCTTGGAGGTCGCCTATCCAGATACTAGCCAGGGCCGACCCTCCTTGGCTTCCGAGGTCTGACAAGATCAGGCTATCCAGGTCAGGGCTACCTTGAAGAGGCATAGAGCGGTGCCAACCAGCCCTGTGCCCACCTACCTGATGTCTGGATCTGCTGTGGCCAGCAGCGCCCAAGAAGAGCCCCTGGCACTAGTGGGTGACTGAAGGGAGCCTGCTGCTTCCCGCGCACCTTCCCTTGCTGCCATGCTGGAGAGGAACTGGACAAGTAGCGGCTTTCTGCCCTGCCCCGAGGAGGGAGGATTAGGAGGAAGAAGAGGGGGGCACTACCAACCGAGGCTGTGGGGAGGGTAGTTAACTGCTATGCCACACCTCCAGTAAGTGGGGGGCTCAAGGAAAGTGGGTGCTACCTCTGGGAAGCTGGTGGAGGGGAGGAAGGGCAGGGCTATCATGCTGCCTCTGTTTGCTTGGAGGGGGTCAACAGTGGGAGGGCTTCTAATGTCCTGGCCCCACTGGTGGACCTCCTGATGGCATCTGGTATTTTTGGCCACTGTGTGACAGAGTGTTGGACTAGATGGGCCATTGGCCTGATCCAACACTGGCTTCTCTTATGTTCTTATGTTCTTATGTTATGCTGCCTCATGATGTTGGCAACTCACTACGGAAGAGATGAGGGGCAAGGAGGGTGAGTGGCAGCTTCATGCTGCCATAATGAGGGAAGGGTGAGCTGTCCTAGGGTAGGTAGGTAGGTAGAAGATTTATTGTATATGGCCACAGGCCTTCACAATCTGAAATCATTTCTAATAAAATGTACTTACAGATACAACAATAAAATACATCAATAAAATATCGCACTATAATACATAGTGAGGAATTTCAAACAGACAATATACTGGAAGAGGAACGGTTCCCAAATGGTTTCTGGTCTGTCATTTCAGACAGAACTGTTTTAGAACTGGTTCCCTACTGGAATATATTTGTAATTTCACACACAAACGCTTCTGTCCCGTTTAGGAAACGGGGCTGAAGCGTTTTACCTGTCAACCGCTTCCAAGTAGTCTTCGGTTTCCTTTCCCAGTTCTGATGCACTTTTTCACGCTGTTTTTCGCCCGCAAGGGCAATCTCCGGCTTTTTAAAATGTTCTCGTTATAGCGCTATAGCGCTATAATGGTATGACATTATAACGCAACAGCATTATATCAAACCTATTGGAATGCCTGGAGCGCTATAGCACTTTTAAAGCGAGTGTTAAAAAAAAAAAAAGGCAGAGATCGCCCGCGTGGGTGAAAAACAGCGGGGGGAAAGCGGTGCAGTTTGAAATGGCAAACCAGATCCAGCTCTTTACCGGAAGGGGAAAGCCATGTGTACCAGTTTATACCAGTTTACTCCATGACGGATCAAAAACAGTTTCAAAACAGGTTAAAAAGGGTAATGTGAAATTCCTCATTATCTAAGATTTAGTCAGCTTTAAAATCTGATAATCTCAAACTAACTAGCAGCAGCTGTATCAGTTGATCCCTTCCTAGTTGCTACATTTGCTCTTATTTTCCTGGCAGCTAGGGCGGAAATTGCCATCCTGTTGGAAACGAATCTGCATCTGACAACATAGTGATTAATTTATCAGCATCCGAAAGAGGACGGAGACCAGACAATAAATTGGCAAGAAATCTTTCCCTCGGGTCCGAGTATAAGGGACAATTTAAAACATAATAGCTGGCCTAGGGTGCCATAAGTACGCAGGCCAACCTCGGCTATTTCTCCGTTGCTAACTTCAGTACTGTTTTGTGTGATGGAATGTACTGAATACAGGATATAGTACAGAATATACCGGATGTAGTATCTTCCATTAAGAGTATGCTGAAATCTGCTGCGAGCAGACATCTGCAGATAACTAATAATCCACATAAACAAAATCAATTGCTTCATTACGAAATGAAATTAATCAGTTAAATAAAATTAATTGAAGCACTTCTGTGTGTAGGTAAAGTCTCTTTCCCAAACCAGCCCCTAAACCTTGCACAGAATGTGTGCATTGGAAGGAAATTTGCAATAATTTCAGTGCTTCTGGGGTCAGTCTGCATGTTTCATTATAAGCCATGTAGTGAAATAAGTAATGTCAGATATGGTCAAGCGAATCACTGTAGTAATACGTGAGTTTTGTTCCTCTGGTTTCTAGGTGTTTGAAGAGGAGCATCACATCTTGTACCTGGATCACGGTGGAGTGATTGTGGCTATCAAGGACACTTCTATTCCACTGAAAATACTCAAGTAATTCTACCATTTAATTTCATATAGCGGCTACCTTTTTGAGGATGAAGTTTATTCCAGCAATTGAAATGAGCTTTCCCCCTCCAAGAAAGCGTAAGAAATTTGTAAAGAGTTGTCCTGTTGATCGAATATTTGCTCAGCATAATATAAAATAGAAGTTTGATAATTGGTGATGCACTTATGAGCATCAGAGCTCCCGTGAATATAATTAAGATCAGAATGCACCAGATAGGTAAGGAGGTAAGGAGAATGGATTTTTTGCCTTAGCCCCCTTCCTCTGGGGCATCTGATAGGGAATTAAGCAGCTGATAGGGAATGAATTGCCTCAAAGGACTTTTCTGCATTCTCATTTTCCTCACTTCTAAGTTCCTGTTTCTTGTTTCTGAGTTCCTGTTTCCGCATGTGTTTTGCTCCTTCTAGTGGTTGATTCAATATTACACCTGTTTACATCTGGCATATCCCCCCACAGATTTAAATTGCAGGTTTTTATGCCAGACATAAACTGGTGTATTATCTAATTGACCATTAGAGGGAGCAAAATGCATGTGGAACATGAAAATTAACAACGAAGAAACAGGAATTTAGAGGAAAGGAAATGAGAATGCAGAAAAGCCCATAGATTGTGATTGTGATTACAGGGCTCTTTTTGTAGAAAAAGCCCAGCAGGAACTCATTAGCATAATAGGCCACACCCAAAAGCAGGAACTCATTAGCATATTAGGCCACACCCTGCCAGCACAGCTCATTAGCACATTAGGACACACACCCATGTTACCAGAAGTGTGGTTATCCAGCCACACCCACCTTTTGCTTCTTATTCTGTTTACTTTGTTTGTTGTCGAAACCCAGGGCTTTTTTTGAAGCAGGAACTCCTTTGCATGTTAGGCCACACACCCTTAATGAAGGCAATCCTAATGGATTTCTGCTGTTGGGTGTGGCCTATTATGCTAATGAGTTCCATGCTGGGCGTGGCCAACTCAGGAGCCAGCCGGAACTCCGTTCCTGTGCGTTCCTGCCCAGAAATAGCCCTGGCTGTGAAGAATTTTCTTCCTAGGGTAAAGTAGCAAGTGCAGGGTTGGTTTTGTTTCCTTTTGTGGCTGGCCTTAGTTTCATGAGTCACTTCCTTTTTTAATTTCAAATGATCTGTTTCTTCAGTGATGGGTACAGGGCCGGATTTAGAGTTGCTGAGGCCCTAAGCTATACAAAACCCAGAGGCCCCCTACTGTTTTAAATTACATCAGCTGGTCTCAGAAAAATTTAAAATATATACGCCTTTTTAATATTGTGTTTTTATTTGAGGCCCCAGCAGATTGCGAGGCCCTAAACTGTAGCTTACTTAGCTTATGCGTAAATCCGGCACTGGGTACATCTCCAGTGGGGCTTGCTTATCCCCAGCCTTTGCTTGGGTGCACTGTGTTCTGGATTACATGGCTTAATCTGCATCAGGCTGAGTCGTGGAGAATTCATGGGCCACAGGTGGTGACTGGGTAATTAGACAATCCCTTCTGGCCATCTGGCTTTGTGTTGGAGTAGAAAATATGCAAACTTTTGAGTCACACAACGTTCTTCATTAAGCAGAAAAGGAAAACAGCAAGTTTGCCAATACTGTCAGCCCTGTCCCGAGGCTGTGGCCTAGGTCTTAAGGTCACCCAGTGCCATTAATGCACCCAGAGCTCGCCAGGTCCCAGTATAAGCAGAAAAGGCAGGTTCCCGCTTCAAGGAGTTTACAGTCTGAATTCTGACAGTGGTGGGGAATAATGAAGCAAAGGACAGGGGCAGATTAACCATTAAGTAGACTAAGCACGTGCTTAGGGCACCAGGGCCAAAGGGGGCACCACGAAGTTGGGAAAAGGGTGAAAAGCTTAGTTTGTACAGTATATTGTGTTATCATATGGATAAATTTTTGTATTGCTGCAACCTGCATTGTATATCTGGTCAGACAGGTCAACAACTAAAATGGACGGGGTCAGTGTGGAAAGGAGGGGGGCACCAAGATTGGTCAGTGCTTAGGGCACCAGTGAGCCTTAATCCACTCCTGGAAAAGGATACATAGGCCCCGGTCACATGGGCCGGATATCGCAGGGGGGAGGCGTGACTAATTGCCCCGGCGCTGTTTGATCCGTGATTACGCGATCAGACACGCCGGCGGCACACCACGGGTCCGTCCCTCTGCGCCAGCAGGTAAACGAGGTTGGCGATCACACGACAATCCTACAGCGTGGCAAAGAAGCAGAACAGTGCGATCACACCAGCAATGGCTAGGTGCCGCTGCCGTGACAAACGGGGTCATTTTTTTTTAAAGCTTAAACGGCACTTTCGCTTTCCTCTTTGTGCGCATGCGCGTTGGGTGCTTGTGCGCATCTTGTGGAGACTTGGGGGGGAAAACCTGTTTGCGGACATGGGCGGGCGCCGGATGCCACCACCGTAAATGTGATCAGATGCCAGCCCTTGCCCCGCGGTTTCCGGAAACTAGTACCTCGGAGATACTAGTTTTTAACTCCGCATCTTCGGCGGGAAGCCTCGGGTTCGCCACGGGAGCTCTACGCTTCCCAGATGTTGCGGTGTGATCGCGCCCGGAAAATCCGCCTATCTTCCGTCTCTGTAGCGTGGCTAATGCTCCGTGTGACCGCAGCCTTAGTTACACATACCCAGGGCTTCATTTCAATTGAAGGGTTAACCTGAAGGCTTCAGTGAAAAATACAACATTTAAAGGAGGGTTTTGTGGGGAAAGAAAAGATCATTTGAGTAGGTATTTTTGTCACAGAGGGCAGTAAGGCTGCAGCAAGAAGGGAACAGGAGATTCTATAGTAGAGTTGGAGGACAAAGGTCCCAGGCAGGAATACATTGGGAAGTAAAGAACACTGCCCATCAACAGAAATTAATAGATTCCTTTGTGTTTGCTGAGCAAATACTAAATTAAAATGACTCTATAGATGCTTATTACAGATTGCCCTGGCCGGGGGCGGGGCCGGGGGGAATCAGATTTGGATTTACAGAATACAGAACTGTGAATACTTTAGTCACGCCCAGCAGGCGAAAATGGGCACATTTTAGCATTTGAAGTACATAAAGTCACGGCCCTAGCTAAAGTGGGGTGTCCTCCCCTACCGGAGCATCAGTTTATCCTGGTCCCCTGCAGGAACTGCAAAACAGTACTCAAAATCGCACTGACTGCTGATAGGATGAGTTCTTCACCAATTGCAAGTGGCTTTCCAGACGTAGCAATCAACAAGGAAATGTTGTGTGATGCACACGGACCATCAGTGTTTTGTTGTGAGGCATTGCAAAACATGCTTGACAGTGCTGGCCGCTTTTGAAATTTCTCACAAAGTGACTGCAAAAAGGTTAAGTTCTTTTGTGACTTGTCAAGATGTGGCTTCTTCAACTGTTCAATCAGTCCGGAAGGCTTCCTTGCCTCGCTAGAAAAAAACCTTTTCACATATTTAGCACATTGGCAGCTGCTGGTTTTGATGCTGGTCTAAATCCGTACTTCAGATATTCCAAGCTATATTGTCTACATTTCTTCTTTGATCTTTCCGCTCCTGCCATTTCTCTTCTGAAACAAAGAATTTATTGATTAAATTTTAATGAGATAATGTCAAAATGAGCATATGCAGTTAGCAACACCACAACTTAAATATTTACACTAAAATAAAGCCAATTAAAACTGGAGGACATATTTTTTATGAAGACTTAAAATGTATACAGCCATAGACTACTAAATAGATGTCTGAATGGCTGTGCAATAAACTGATAGTTAAATGGGAGAATTTTGAAGATTTTCACGAACTACTTGTGTTTATTAAGAATAATAACTTAGGTTAAAAATTTAATTGGTATGAGGACTAAAGTTTCTCTTCACCATTAACAAATAATTATTTGGAAACATTTGGCAGGGATTTAAAAGGAAAATATGGCTTGTGGGAAGTAATGGATTTGATACAATTTTAAAAACATCCCGTAAACATTTTAAAAGACAACAAGACAGAAAATAAGAGCTTTTACAATACTCCTGATTATAATTCTGTAAAATGTTCAAGTAAGTTGCTGGATTTTAATTCAATTTATAACAATAATTTGTCTTTATTGCATGCTGAAGATAAATGATGCTGTTAAAAGGGATGAACAGTTGACAGGTTTTGATACCTTTCTAGGATTAAAATCAAGGACTTAATAAAGAAATATGTTATAATTGCAATAAGATAGATCCAGGTGGTCAGCCGTTTTGGTCTGAAGCAGTAGAACAAATCTAGAGTCCCGTAGGGTGTCAAGGTCCCATCAAAACAACGTAGTCATTCTTGTAGAGAAGAGAACTTTATTGAATCAATGAGTCACTAGAAAGGTTTCTGTTTAGAATAGCATGGAGGAATCACAGCAAGCAATATGAATGCATTTCAAAACGCTACTAAGCCAATGAGTACATTTCCCGCTTGGGGATAAAAAGCGCCAACCTGCTGAGAACCAAAACGCTTCAGTTATCGTTACTGAGTTTTTCTCAGGCTCTGCTAAATAAAACAAAAGCTACTGCCATCCTTATCTCGCACCTGCTCGGCCTTGAGTGTTGCTCGGTTCTCTAACAAGCCTTATGTCTGAGCATGCGTC